AAATTCGAATTCAACTCCAAAAACTGGCCTTGAGGCATGTAAAATTTGAAGAGTGAACCGAGGTCATCAAAGGTCAATGAAACGATGTAAAGATTTCAGGGTCAGGTTTAAGGTCAACCTAGGTCATCTAAAACATTTCGTTTTAGGCAAGCTGAATTTACTTTTCGTTAAGTTTTTTTGACTGCATTTTTGGTAAAAGCTTCTCAATTCATGATCTCATGTAACAGGGACACACAAACCAATCGGTGCACACATCACTATACACAGACACAAACACAGACATACAAACAAATATCATTGACCCTGACCTAAGCTGACCTAAGGCCCCAGTCAGTAAAAACTTAGTCGGATAGTGTAAAAAAGAGCTGTTCTAGCTGGCTTGGCACCAATACTGCAGCGTCATCGGTATATGATGGGCACTGCACGTGATATTCCAACGGTGACCCCATACAGCAACATTTTTTAGTTTGACCTGACCTGGAAGGTCAATGACTGCACATTGAGGTAAAATTGGATACCATTGGATTTGTCTCTTCCAAAAAAATCTGTTGGTTTTTACCGCGAAGCTCTATCTCTAGCAGGAACGAAATGGCGCGGGGGTATAGCCCCCCTCCCCCATGTGCGCTCTACGGTGGAAAAATGGCATGCGTGGGCGAGGGTTAAAAAACTAACCCCGACTACTCTAAGTAGGTACCCTGTCCACCGACTGCCGTCCTGTGTTATTATCAAACATCATGGGCTAGATGGCGATAGTAATGACGATGATACTAAACAGTTTTAGTCATGTACAGTACCGCGAGTCAGTGTGTTATTTGTTACATTATCACCGTGAGGCACGATGCAGTGTTCATTATTTGAATAAATCGTAAAAATAAAAAAAAATCATTATTTGAACAAATCGTAACAAATCGTAAAAATAAATGGATAGAAAAAAATGTTGAGCGAAGTAACTAGATTTTGTAACTCTGTTGCCCATGCTGATAAATGGTATGCCATAACATATGGTCTTTTACCTTGTAATGTGAATAGTGATCCAGTTTTCTTTCGATTTGGTCGCCTATCGACCGTCCTCCCAGCGTATGACTTCTGTCTGACCTGCTGTGTTCCAGACTCGCCGCAGGGTGACCGCGACGGAGAGATCGAAGACGAGGAGCAGCACTGCGATGAGGAGCAGCAGCCATCAGAGGGTCCGCCTCACCCACACCGACAGAGGTGGCAGCTGATTGAACAGCAACATCAGCAGCGGTGGAAGGAGCTGGAACTACAACATCAACAGCTATGGCAGGAGCTGGAGGATCCAGGAAACGAAGAAAGAGTGAGGATGGACAAAGAGCATGAAGAGGAGCGTCGACATCTGGAGCAGAAACACGGTAAGGAGTGGCAGAACCTGGACGAACGTCACTATGAGGAGCGCATTGAGCTTCATCAGCAGCACAAAGAGGACACTGGATGCATCGAAATGCCGACTGAGGACCAGTTAAGGCAGCTGGATCTCTCCCACCAGAAACAATGGGAAAAACTCCGGCGGACACTGCGGAAGCAGAGGCTAGAGCTAGAGCTCAGACACCTGAGAGAGTCACGAGAGCTGGAGGAGAGGCTCCCGAGCGTCCGGTCGGGGGAGTTGGATCGGCTGACGGAGGAGTGCAGGAGGGGACGTCAGCAGCTGGGGAAGGAGTTAAAGGAGGAGCTTCAGGAGCAGGAACACGACGATCAGCAGCGTGTCACCAGGAGCCTGCTGGCGCGTCACCAGGAGGAGCGTGAAGAGCTCCTTCGGAAGCACGAGGAGGAAACCAGATGCCTGAACATGCGGATCGATCAGCAGCCACGAGCCAGGCTTCTGCGGCGGTTCCTGAAATGGAACGGACAAAGGAAGCTGAACAAGAGGCACCGAAAACAGTCGAAACAACTTGATCGCTCCCACCAGCAGCAGTGGGGAAATCTCCAGCAGAAATTGCGGCAGCAGTGTCGAGAGCTGGAGGAAAGGCATCCAAACACAGGATCAGAACACGAAGAGAATCGGCTCCCGGAGGAATGGAGCAGGAGACTTCACGAGCTGAGGGAGAAGCTGGAGAAGGAATTAGAGCAGCTGGAGAAGCAGCTTCAGGAGCAGCAGTGCCCCGAGGAAGGTGAGTGGCAGGCTCCGACGTCAGATGATGTACGAATGTTAAGGACAAGGATGACGGAAAACAATTGATTTCAGGTCAGAGGCCAGTTTCACCAATAAAAAACAGACGACTGCGATTATTTTTTGACAAAACGATAGTCTCAAAATGTCATTTACTGCTAAAAATACTAATCGCTGACTTGAAAAATGTAATAACGCAGCTTTCAAGTGCTATATTATTTGGTCAGCAATTACTTTTTCCACCGGTAAATAGGATTTATAGACTATCGTTTTGTCAAAAAATAATCGCAGCCGGGGCATTCCACGATAGATCGACCAAAGCCGTACACCCTCATATTTTATTTTTTGCTTAAAATTGGTCTAATGGGTTGTGATGGGCGGGGAAGCCAGCTGTGCCAAGGATTTTTTTCTTCTAACAACGGTTTCCGAGATATAGCCTCAGGCAATTCCTGGAGGTCACGCTGCAACCCTATGTTTGTCGGCTTATAACTCAGAAACTATTGGTTTTCTATGGTAAAAACTGTATATGGTTCAACTCGCAATCAACCAACAAACGTTTTGGCTATCTCAGATTTTCGATTTTTGAAAATTTTGATCACGTGACATCTTGACCTTTTTTCGAAGAGTGACCTTGATATTTTCCCAACTGAAAGTCGCAATTATGTCTGATGACGATTAAAGCCTTATCAATTGTCATTCATATGCGCAAATAAAAAAAGTGGCTTTCGGCCTGCGTTGACCTCAGGTCAGGTCATTTTTATGACCTGTCCATTATTACGAGCGGGAGTGACGCGATATCTCGAGAATAAAGCAAGATAGCGACAAGCGGTAAACGGTACAGGATTGACACGGATAAGGTCTACAATTTTTATGGAGGTCATTTTCAGGTCAGGTCAAAGATGACGTCACAGGGGTAAAAAGGAAGTCAAAATAGTTTTGGCTGTACCTTTTGATCTAATAAAGAAAGAGACGTGGAACAGGCACCATTGTGTTTGCTTTCGCCTAGCGCCAGTTCGTTTTGAATTTCAATACCGATGACCTGAGGTCAGGTCAATTTCTTGACCACCCCATTATAAGTCAATTGGGGAAAAATCAGCTCCCTTGTTCTTACACTAAAACGCGTCGGAATTGCCTAATATACCATGAGTTACTTCATATACGACTAACTTTGACTACCTTCAGACCTTTTTTGCTCTTGGTCAACTGTGACGTTGCTCTTGGGTCATGTGACGTCATTATAGGTCACCAAATGTTTTTTTGCTAATAACTCCTTACAGGTTTGAGATACAGCCGCGCGGATAGGCTCATTGTGTTCAGCTCGTCAAGGCCCATCGAATGATATATATGATGACCTTAAGGTCACGTGACCTAAGGTCAACTTTTGACCTTGACCTTTCGAGGTCAACATACACATATTTCGATGCGGATCGACGAGAGGATCACGATGGTGCTATTAGTTTGTTCCTAGCTGGGATACTTTGAAAGTTATTCGAGAAAAACTTCATATATATGTAGTGCCGCCATTTAGGCTTTCTTTTTACCCCTGTGACGTCATCTTTGACTTGACCTGAAAATGACCTGAGTAAAAATTGTAGACCTTATCCATGTGTACTTAGTGCCGTTTACCCCTTGTCGCTATCTTGCTTTGTTCTCGAGATCTCGCTGTCGCTCCCGCTCGTAATAATGGGAAGGTCATAAAAATGACCTGACCTGAGGTCAACGCAGGCCGAAAGCCACTTTTTTATTATCGCATATGAATGACAATTGATAAGGCTTTAATCGTCATCAGACAAAATTGCGACTTTCAGTTGGGATAATATCAAGGTCACTCTTCGAAAAAAAGGTCAAGATGTCACGTGATCAAAATTTTCAAAAATCGAAAATCCGAGATAGCTTAAACGTTTGTTGGTTGATTGCGAGTTGAACCATAAAAAATTTTTACCATAGAAAACCAATAGCTTCTGAGTTATAAGCCGCCAAACATAGGGTTGCAGTGTGACCTCCAGGAACTGCCCGAGGCTATATCTCGGAAACCGTTGTTCGAAGAAAAAAATCCTTGCCACAGCTGGGTTCCCCGCTCATCACAACCCATTAGACCAATTTTAAGCAAAAAATAAAATATGAGGGTGTAAATTTTATTTATTTTTGGTCGATCTATCGTGGAATGCCCCAGCCGTCTGTTTTTTATTGGTGAAACTGGCCTCAGATCAATTTTGCGAACTCCTCGTTATATACCAATGAGATAATTGAAATGGGCATCTATTGTGATAATTTCTTATCAAACACTTCTAAGCATCGGGCTACAAGGAAGAATGACGACCTGAATTGGAAAAATCCCAACAATGACCCCTATGTGTGTATGCCCATATGGCCACTTTTGATAAAGACATGCAATAGCGATGAGAATTTACGTTACAGTATGACCTTTTTCCTGTTAGGTCATAGCATTGACCTGACCTGACCCTGACCTGACATTGAGCCTTTTCACACGGACAATTATTTTACATACACCATGATGAAGCGTCCAGATTCAAAATAACCGTTTTCACGACGGCTTTTTGGTACATATTTGGTGCAGATTCGGTGCAGATTTGGTCAAATTAGATTAATTGCGTTTCTTTGTAGCTATCAGCTTGGGTTGCACCGTTGCTTATACGCCTGATTTTTCCAAATTATAAGACATTATTTTCGATTAAAACACTGAAGTAAGCTCGTTATAAGAATATATTTCATGTAGAAAAGTTTTGGTGCATATGTATTCGGTCAAGTTTGGTGGATTTGTCAGATAACCCATCGTCAAAACGGCTAATATATCCATGTTCCAGAATCCAATGAGCAGCAGCAGGGGCAGCAACAGAAGCAGCAGCAGCAGCAGCAGCAGCAGCAGCGGGATCGACAGGTGAACCGGACGCCCTACGAGAGGCTAATCTAGCCTCGATGCATGCCAACCCAGCCGGTCAGGTCACGCCAGGTCATTTCATTCGGCCACGTTTATCCCGCGTCCCACTGGGCCAGTCGCACATCCTACCATCCGTTTGGGGAGGAGGGGGGGGGGGGCGTTTCGGCCCCCAATATCTCGGAAAAACGACCGATTTTAAAAGATTCAAACAGCGTCAATAGCTGCATTGCAAAATGTCATGGTTCCCGATTGTATTGACCTAGGTGCACCCAATGATGTCAAAGGTCATGTCAAATGTCGTATGTTTTCACTGTTTATGGGTTTTCTAAGGAATGCGTTATATAATCGAGTAAAAAGTATTACATCGGAAACATGTGGTGTTTCAGATCACCACAGACGTCACCATCACCAGCAGTGACAGCACCACCGGCACCACCGGCAGGCGTGAGTACACCAACGGCAGCCGGGTCCAGCTTCACGGAGCTTCCGAAACCACCATCAAGTGAACTACTATTGACTTAGAGATATCATAAATTATAATACAGCTATTATAAGACAATCTATGGTGCTATTTTTACCATTTGTCAGCTGACTCAAAATAATTGTGATTTTAATTTCGCTTCTTTAGCGCTGTATCTAAAATATAAACATCAAAGACGACATTATAACTTCAATCATTATAACTAGCGCCTTGTATTTCAGGTCCGTCATCACCACCGTCCCCAGCACCATCACCATCATCATCACCATCACCAGCACCACCACCTCCAGGACCAAGCCCGCCACCAGCCTCCGTGAGTTTGGAATTGTTGTTTGAACCTGAAAATATAAAAATCGTTATAAATTTAGGGGATTTTGTGCGTTCACCTCCACAAAAAGATGGACAGGAATGCTGTCATACTAATTGAATATAAAAACATATTGTTTGTTTAGATCATCTACATTGTGCTTTCATACTTAACACGCGCACTGCAGCGGGTCTGAGCCGAACACGAACTGCAGGGGGGGGGGGTTGAAAACAACCCCCCCTGAGATCTCGAAAACGGCGCAACGTAGCGACAAGCGGTAAACGGCGTTGGATAGGTTAAGATGAGATCTACAAGAAATACTAAGATCATTTTTGGGTCAGGTCAAAAACGAGGTCACCAGAGGTCACCGAAGACAAAATGTTACGATTTTCACAACAGGAATTTCGCGGTAGTTTTTCTTGAATAACTTGTCTTGCACACAAGACAGAGGATCGATTCGAACGCCATCGTTCTTAGCTCGTCAAGGCGCATCGAATGATATATAATATGACCTCGAAAGGTCAAGTTGAAAAATTGACCTCAGGTCAAGGTCATGACCTGACCGAAATAGGTCATGTTGCATATCATTCGATCCGCATTGACGAGAAAAACACGATAAACGTCGAACGGAGTCTCTATCTCTATTCAATCTCAAGTTATTGAAGAAAAACCGCTGGTGACCTCAGGTGACCTAAGATGACCTGGAGATCACCTTCCAAAGGTCATAAGTGATATGTTTCGGTGAAATCACCAACAGGGACCTGTAATACTATGATCCTGAGCGTATTGAAGTCATAGGATGGCATTCAGAGTAAGTTGAAATTTCTCCCATTGACTTATAATGGGCCGGTCGCAAAAATGACCTGACCTTAGGTCATCGATATAAAAATTCCGAGATAAACAAGTTGTAGCTCGTGATGACTTTACTATTTCCTGTGGGTTTCAAGATCATATCTCAACAACTGTGGGCTTGGTGGGATTGCAAACTTCGAAATTTACGTTTCGAGGTAGGGTCACTTGACCTGACCTGGTGACCTGACCATAGGTCACCTGGGGTCAAAATTTTTACTCAAGGTGTGCAAAAGTTGGGAGAACAGGTATGCAAAATTTGGCGGCGCTACGCGCCGCCGTTTTCTCGCGATTTGCGAAAAACCACAGGGGGGGGGGTTGAAAACAACCCCCCTGCAGTGCGCGTGTTAAGTTCAGTTATCAAAATGTTCAGTTGTATGTACCGGTAAAGCAACTACCTATGTTCCTCGTTTTCGTATGTATATCTATCAGTGTTACTGCAAGGTGCAAATTGGACTTCAATAATTGATTACAAACATTTTGCCTTGTATTTCAGGTCCGCCATCACCACCGGCCCCACCATCACCATCACCAGCACCACCACCAGCACCACCGGCTCCGGGATCAAGTCCTCCACCAGCCTCCGTGAGTGGCTGATCTTTGAACCTGAAAACGAAAAACTGATTTTGTATTTTGCACAGGAGATTTAGTGAGTATTTTCTTCTTCATAATCAGATAAAGTGATGTACTGTAGCATTATATTTATTCAAATACTGATGACGGATTCTGTCAGGAAGCTTCTAATCGTAAGATGTGGTCAGAAAGGAAACCACCGTAATGTATTACCTATACATGCAGCAATCGGGCTCAATTTATAATTTTATTCCTTCCTTTCAGACCATCAACCAGCACCACCACCAGCACCACCGGCCTCAGCACCAAGCCCGCCATCAGCGTCCGTAAGTGTTTTATAACATATTGGCCATAATGGCGTTAACATTTTATTTTATTCGTAATTTCGAGACACATTCGTAGTTCATTTCTCATCACAAAATGTAGATAGATGGGCCATACATTGTAGGTGTTGTGGCAAATAGTTTGTCAGAAATGCCCAAAAACGTAAGACGTGTTTAGAAAAGAAATTAGCGATGCTTTTTCTTACAGTGTACCTATCACAATTTGAATAAAAATGTGCTGATTCTTTTTCAGGTCATCTACCATCACCACCACCAGCACCACCGGCTCCGGGACCAATCACGCCACCAGCCTCCGTGAGTACAGACGCGATATCGGCGGGAACACTGTCTTTTCCTCTACCGCACGGCTCAGTAGTTTGAAATTCAGCCAACAGATGACTCTATTATATAGCGCCTGATACATGCTGTACCGCTCGACTCAGTAGTTATTCATCTCGACAGCAGTTGGCTCTGGCATAAGGCGCCTGAGGCATGCTGTACCGCATGACTCAGTAGTTTCAGTGTTAGCCAACAGATGGCTCTGTCATACAGCACCTGAAGAGTGCTGCGCCGCAGGTCTCAGTAAATACATAGGGAAGACCACCACCAGCCTCTGAGAGCTCGGACGAGATGTCATTGGACACACTGTCGTCCGTGGCTAGTTTCTAGCAAAGGAACGCTTGACGTTGATAATTGATACACAGACGAAACAAATGGAATAATTTGATCCGTCATTGTCTTGGATACACTTTTTAAGATTCGATATACTTAACTGTAAATTGCGACTCTTCTTTGCTGTTTCTAATAGTCCTCTATCTGTGTGAAAAACAGCATGAACCTGTGTTTTCAGTTACAAATTTAACGGTTTTGTTATCCCGCGAGTTGCTGGGGGGGGGGGGGGGGCGTTAAACGCCCCCACTTTTTTCGCCGGGCCATAGCATAAAAACGGCGCGCCGCAGGCGCGCCAAAATTTGGGTACCTGTAGGGAATTGATTAAAGTTTATTGTGACAAAGTTTCAAAAAAATCGGTCGGAAAATTTTTGAGATATCGAGGTTTTAGTGACGTCATGATTTCTGAGTTTTCGACCAAAAACGGCATATGTTCAAAAAATCATATAAAATCACAGAATAGACATACAGACATGCCGTAAACGCCATTAGACTGCCAATACCATAGACAATCAAATGGCTATCTTCGATTATTGATTATCGTTCTGCATTTTCCAAAATCTTGAACTGAATCTTGGCAATTTCTCGCGACTACTTTACGACCATGATACATACATTTCTTAAATTGAACTTTTTGAGCCAAACACGTACACATATGATAAAATGAGTGTCACCATCGTGTTCTACGCCCCAAATTACCCATAAAACATGTGTCGCAGGCTGCGAATTTCAGTTTTGATTTTCGGGGATATGTGCCTACCCGGTTGACCTGACCTTGACCCTGACCTATGTTTGACTGACCCCTACATGGAGCTGACACTCTTGTAGGCCTTATATGATGGATTGTGCACCGTTTTGACAACGTTTATGACGAAAGGCGCCCATTGCGAAGCCCTGAAGTCCATGCTACTGAAAGCCCGATTTCAGGTGTTTGACCTGACCTTGACCCGACCTGTGACCTCAAAATTCAACTTTAAAGTACTCATCTGAAGCGTCTCGTCGCGCTCTTTCGTTTGCCGCCTCGTGCGTTTCGCTGCGCCTATTGGTTCTCGAGTTATCGGCTGGGGGCGTTTAACGCCCCCCCCCCCAGCAAACGGTGGGTGGCGAAATACCCCAGCAACTGCCGGGTTATATTGTGTCGAAACTGTTTGTATTGCATATAAGTGTCACAGCTAACTATTTTGTTCATTTTGCCGTAGACATTGCTACCGCTCTGTCTGTATGATAAGGTGATCATGTCAAATACAATAAATAAATCGCTTGTATTTTTTTTTTTCAGGTCCGCCATCACCACCGTCCCCAGCATCACCATCACCAGCATCAGCACCTCCACCAGCACCATCGGCTCCGGGATCAAGCCCGCCACCAGCCTCCGTGAGTGTCTGATTTTTTATTGAAACCTGAAAACGTAAAACTTATTCTTCTCGCTATGTTACATATAATTTTTTTTTCGGTAATTACTTCTTATTAATCAGATCAATAGGAAGAATAATATGTATAATAAAATAAAACGCTTTAATAATAAAATATAATAATAAAACGCTGACAACGGATTCCGTCAGGATTTTGCTGACCGTTGGACTGGTTGAGAGGTGAATTTACTGTATTTTACAACAGTTTCATCGGTTTACGGTCAATTTGTATTTTTTCGCTTATAGATCATTAACCAGCACCACCACCAGCACCACCGGCCTCAGCACCAAGCCCGTCACCAGCGTCCGTAAATGTCTTATCACAAATTGACTTTAAAATTGGAGGTATTTGATTTTGGTCGTAAGTTCGAGGCACATTTTTAGTTTGTTTTTCATCACCAAATCTATTACGATAGGCTATACATTGTATTGTTACAAATATTCCATCAGGAATACTAATGATCGTAAAACCTGTTAACCCGGCAGTTGCTGGGGTATTTCGCCACCCACCGTTTGCTGGGGGGGGGGGCGTTAAACGCCCCCAGCCGATAACTCGAGAACCAATAGGCGCAGCGAAACGCACGAGGCGGCAAACGAAAGAGCGCGACGAGACGCTTCAGATGAGTACTTTAAAGTTGAATTTTGAGGTCACAGGTCGGGTCAAGGTCAGGTCAAACACCTGAAATCGGGCTTTCAGTAGCATGGACTTCAGGACTTCGCAATGGGCGCCTCTCGTCATAAACTCTGTCAAAACGGTGCACAATCCATCATATAAGGCCTACAAGAGTGTCAGCTCCATGTAGGGGTCAGTCAAGCATAGGTCAGGGTCAAGGTCAGGTCAACCGGGCAGGCACATATCCCCGAAAATTAAAACTGATATTCGCAGCCTGTGACACATGTTTTATGGGTAATTTGGGGCGTAGAACACGATGGTGGCATTCATTTTATCATATGTGTACGTATTTGGCTAAAAAAGTTCAATTTAAGAAATACATGTATCATGATCGTGAAGTAGTCACGAGAAATTGCCAAGATTCAGTTCAAGATTTTGGAAAATGCGGAACGATAATCAATAATCGAAGATAGCCATTTGATTGCTCATGGTATTGGCAGTCTAATGGCGTTTACGGCATGTCTGTATGTCTATTCTGTGATTTTATATGATTTTTTGAACATATGCCGTTTTTGGTCGAAAACTCAGAAATCATGACGTCACTAAAACCTCGATATCTCAAAAATTTTCCGACCGATTTTTTTGAAACTTTGTCACAATAAACTTCAATCAATTCCCTACAGGTACCCAAAATTTGGCGCGCCTGCGGCGCGCCGTTTTTATGCTGTGACCCGGCGAAAAAAGTGGGGGCGTTTAACGCCCCCCCCCCCAGCAACTCGCGGGTTAAGAAAAGAAGTGAAGCTATATTTTCTTACAATGAAGAGCAACTAAACATGTGCTGATTCTTTTCCAGACCATCTACCATCACCACCACCAGCACCACCGGCCTCAGCACCAAGCCCGCCACCAGCCTCCGTGAGTACAGACGCGATATCGGCGGGCACTCTGTCGCCCGCTGTACTCGTCTATAGGAAATAAAATATTTGGTAATTGTAATGAATGTTGATAGAATACAAGTTTTATCTTAGATTTTTTTCAACTGCAAGACGATCAGTTCTGAGTTTTCATTTTGTTATGAATGGCCGTGTTTTTGCGTCAAATAACCACAATTATCATCTTTTGTTCCTTTTTCTTATAATATTTTTATCAAACTATAAGAAGAAATTGGTACAATATAGGTACCTAGGCCTACGTATGTAACGCAAACCAATTTCAGTATTATCTGTTGTGTGGCTAGTCGTTTTGTTGTATCTGTATTATATTCGTTGCTAATTGGTCCTTACGTACCTAATAAATGAAACGTTTGTATTATTTCAGGTCCGCCACCATCACCAGCACCACCACCAGCACCACCGGCTCCGGGATCAAGTCCTCCACCAGCCTCCGTGAGTGTCTGATCTTTGATTGAAACTGAAAACGATAAACTGATTTTTTGGCTGCACAGGATATTTTGTCAGTAATTTCTGCTTCATGATCAATGCAATGGAAGAACTGTAGAACTATCCTCAATCAAATATTGATAACGGACTCCGTCATGAATTTTTTTTCTTCTGACCATTAGACTGGTTCAGAGGTGAACCCATTGTATTTCTGAACAGTTGCATCTATTTGCGTTCAGTTTGTATTTCTTTCCCTTCAGACCATCCACCAGCACCACCGGCCTCAGCACCAAGTCCACCAGCACCACCACCAGCACCACCGGCCTCAGCACCAAGTCCACCAGCACCACCACCAGCACCACCGGCCTCAGCACCAAGTCTACCAGCCAGGGGCGTCGTTTTGTATAGGCCTGGGAGTGCCCGAGCACTACCAATGTTCAGCTGAGCACTACCAATGTGTTGTTGAGCACTACCAACATTTTTCTTCACTTATTGAGAAAATTGCATTCAAACATGTCATACAAATAAAATGAATGAGGTTCTTATTACGAGCGAGCGAGCGCAGCGAGCGAAGTGAGTCTTTTCAATATAACGGAAAAATCTCAGTATGAGCGGCCCGGCCCGGCCCGGCCCGGCCTGTAACGCTTTTGAGAGGCTTATATCTCAGCAACCGCTGGACCGATTGGCCTGCGGTCTTTTTTGTTGGGTAGCCCCATTCCTTCTACCCCGTAATTGACTACTTTTGATACATCTCAGTGACCGTCGTGGCACGTGCCACGTGAAAAGTCAAGGGTGTTCAAGCTGTTTTGCAAAAGTAGTGATTTTGAGAGGCTCATATCTCAGCAGCCGCTTGGGCGATTGACTTGCGGTAATTTTTGTAGGGCAGCAGCATCCCTTCTACCCAAAATGGGATACTCTCGATGCATGTGGGTCACCCCCAGTGCACGTGCAAAATACAACAATAAGAGGTGCCAAATTTGTTCCCATTTCAGTAACTCGGTAATTACTGGGGCGATTTCGCTGAAACTTGGCATACAGGTAGGCACCCACCAGGCAATGCATTCCCATGTGTTACGGTTAGGGTGCTACTGCACGTGCGCACGTGCAGGGGGCGTTTCCAGATCTCGAGAACGGCTGGGCCGATTGCGCTCAAATTTGGTACACGGTTGGGGACCAGTTAGTAGGGTGCCGTGCAAAAAAGTAATTTTGGACCCCGTTTGCACGTGCGCACGTGCAGAATGCCGCTTCCAGATCTTGGGAACGGCTGGGCCGATTGCGTTCAAATTTGGCACACCGCCAGCGACCAGTTAGAAGGGTGCTTTGCGCAAGCCCGTTGGAAGCACCCTCTCGCCCTTCCGCACGTGCAGGGCTCACTATCTCGCTCGCTCGTTCTTCGCCCAAAAGGCGTTTTACTGGTGCATAAAATCAACATGATAGCAAGTAACTTCAATGGTGAGTGGTAACTATTGATGAAAATCTATAGACTTACTCCACAAGTAGATTGAATTTGAATTGGTTGACCAATTCAATCTTCTTGTAGCGTACTTAAGTCCATAAATTTCCATCAATACCTAGGTATCATTTTCACTTTCCACATCATGTCATTACGTCAAGTAATTTCAAGTTATGTGGTACCTACCTACCTACCTACCTACCTACCAAGCTTCACAATAGTCAGGGGCGTCGTTTTGTATAGGCCTGGTAGGGCCCGAGCCTTACCAATGTTTATTTGGGCGCTACCAATGTTCGCTGAGCCCTACCAATCTTTTGTCACTTATCAGTTGATAAAAAATCAAAATAAACAGATAAGCAAATATTAAATAAGCACATATGCAAGTACATAAATAAGGTTCTAGCCACAGTAGGTGCATGTAGCTGACAATGAGGTTTCACGTGTCTAGGACTCCGGTCCTTAATGGATTTTAAGAGGCTCGAAAACGCAATTGGTTATAGAGGTCCATAACTGCCTCTGAGTCCCGCATACCACGCGACCGCCCCTAATAGACCCCGATCCGTCTCCACACCAGGCGCTGGAGGCCCTACACCGACTTCGGAAGGTGCCGCGGTGCTCCAGAATAGGCCATAGGTATATTGATTTGAGTGGGTGATGCAGCCTGATTCCCCAGGGTTCAACGCCAGGTCATTACCGCATCAGACCCCGAAAACTGAAGCTCGTAACTACGAGGGGCGTTCAAAAAGTTTCGGGCCGAACAATGAAGGAGTTGGAATTTTGGCCTGCAAGGCGTGTGTTAAATGATGTGTTATTGGGATGTCCACTTACGCAAATTAAGTAAGTGGCCATTAATTAAGTCTCTTCTGTGATTGATTCGGGCTTCTATTCGTTGCATAGTTCGCCATTTCGGATAGGATGGGCGACGCCCAGAAGAGAGCAGTGATTCGTTTCATAGTAGTTAGTGCAGAAAAGGCACCAAGCGTTAACCCTCGCCCTGGGCATTTTTCATAACACGGCCTGGCAGGGGGGAGGGGTCGATGCGACCCCCCTCCGCTCGTCAACTTTCCAAAACAGGGGCACACAATTGATGATGTGCATCCATTCGATAAACATCGAGGAGAGGCTATAGGGAAGCTGACGTGAAGTGTACACCTGATCCGCGACCACGCACCTGCGTACATGGGCGGGATGACGAACAGTGAAGCGATGAGCTTCGAGTTGTTGTCGCATCCACTTTTTTCTCTCCGAACCTTGCACACTCTGGTTAGTGGTTGCCACCTCTTCCCCAACATAAGAAAATTAGCAGCGGCAACCTCGCTAACAGCAGGGAGACGAAATCAGCCGTCTTGGACGTGCAGGATGGGTCCAAAACCCACTTGGTTATGGAGGCCTTGAGGGCTCTCGCGAAGCGCTGCGCGAAATGTGTTTGTCTTAACGGTGTTTATTTGAATAAATGAACTTTTTGGTCTAATGAGTCGATGCTTAGTCGGCTTGGGCCCTCAAAGCTGTTCCTGTCCCCTTTCAGCACAGCCGTCCTTTTAAGTCGATGTGGGCCTCTTTCAGAATGGCGTGCATTCCTCCGACACTATTGCCTATATAACTGCACGTTTTGTGCATGGCGTCCGGTGTGGACCCAGATTTCCAAAGTTTTTTTTTGTGTTTTTTTTTTTAGATTTCGGTTAGTTTTGTCAATGACCAGGGCGAAAAATAAGTGGCCGAAATCCGATGAGAAAGGCAGATTTGGGGGTACCCTACCTTGTAAGCCCCGTCATATATGGCCAGCCGCCGCCTTTGGGCACTACCAATCATTTTCGGAAAACGACACCCCTGCCACCAGCACCACCACCAGCACCACCAGCCTCAGCACCAAGTCCACCACCAGCAGGTAGGTAGGGCTCCATATCAAAGCATACAAAATCTTATCATACAATCATCAAAACATACAAAATCGTAACATACAACGCGCAAAACCTACAAAACAGGCCGGGTAGGGGACAGTCAAAACATACAAAAGCGCAGCATACAAAATCGTGTCATACAAAATCGCAAGGTACAAAATCGTTTCACACAAAAAGGCAGTGGAAAATTAATAGCATTAATCAAAGTACGCATCATACAAAACCATTTCATATAAATTTACATCATTTCGTCGTCCTTGAGATGTCAATTTTCAGTTGGATCAAAACCTACAATCTCAACTGCGCTTCAAGCGACATCTTTGTTAGAAGTTTGTGTAGTTACGAAATATTCCACTAGATGCCTCCTCAGGTACGGCTCCAGAAATACTCCCCTTTTCCAAACCTTTGACCTTTGTGTTGTTTTAATTTGTATGTTTCAACTAACGTTAAAATATCGATTGCGTGTTTATTTGTTTGCTTGTTTGTTTGTTTGTTTTGTTAGCAGGCTTGTTACGACGAAACAAACACATCCTCATAAATGTTTGTCTGTTACGTCAAAACTGAGGTCATTTATCTCCAAAGTGTTTAATTATCTACAAAACCTCAGCAAATAGAAATAAAAATATGATCAAGTATTGATAAGAATTACCATTTATTTTAGGTCCACCATCACCACCAGCCATCACCAGCACCAGCACCAGCACCACCGGCTCCGGAATCACCACCACCAGCCTCCGTGAGTGTTTTAGTATTGTACTGAGAGTGAACAGGCACGCATGAATTGTGTATGTGTTATCAATACATTGATAAAGGATTTGATAGTTATCTCAAACAGCTTTGTGTATGCTTAGTATTAGTTTATTTCTACCTTCATCTTAGAAATATTGTGAGGAGTCTTGCAAGCGATACCTAGGCCAGTTGTCATGTCGTCAAAAAAAAAACTGTACGAGCTACGATGTATAGGTACCTACAAATGGTGTAAGTGCTAAATATTCATATATTTCAGATCCCCTGCCAGCATTGGCAGCACCGCCACCAGCACCGCCGGCCTCAGGACCAAGCCCACCACCAGCGTGCGTGAGTTCACCAGCGGAATCTGCTTATTGATTTTACCAATTGTCCGGTTATCGTGTCCTGTTTCCGTGTCCCGCTTCAGTTTTGTGCTTTATCAAGTCCACCTTTCCTTTATTCTAAATAATTTTGACTACTTGAATCTAAAAACACCATACATAAATCATCTGGAATGATCTCCTGTCCATTTACTGCACTGGCAGGTTGACGGAGGCGGGTGTGCGGCTCTAGCGCAGCTGAGCCGTCGACCGCCGGAGCCAATCCGGCAGTCCGGCATTTCAGCTGCCGCACACTCGCCCGTCACAGAATCAGAGGCCTCCCGAAACACGTTAGTTTGGTGGACGATTTTTGCATGATGCATACCTATTTGTGCTCCAACGTTTGTGACTATACTTGCTACGAGGCGATTTGTAGTTAGCAGCATTCACAACTGACATCAGACTCATAATTATTGCATTACCAGTCCCGGATGTCGCGTTTCCCTTCCGCTGGTAGCGTCACCAGTTCCCCGCGCGGCCAGCTGTCGCCATGACGGTGACCAGAGCCCGGGGACAGACGCTCGGTCGGGTGTCCGTCTCTCTGAAGGAGCCAGTGTTCAGCCACGGGCAGACAGATGTACGTGGGCCAACAAATGGAAAACTGACATGTGCACATGTTATCGGAGCTGGCTTGGGTGACCTTCCCAGCTCGAGCATACATTATGATTTATCAGAATGTAAACCAATCTATTCAATGACATATTATGGAAAAATATATGATAAAACGCCAGTCGTTGTACGGCAGTGCACTGACCCACCGGTATATTTTCAGCCACCACGATCAGCTGGTGTAGGCCATCCACGACAGATGAGTGCTATACAAGCCTGCCTCCGCCGTGCTTGGAGAGCTGACTCACCCAACGGCCGTTTGTGCCGCCACCAATCGGCTGCGAGTAGCACACACCGAGTGCTACTCGGGGCCAGATGGCCGCCGTGTCTTCCCTCAGGACATGGTGGGCTCTGCACTACCTGAGGGGTCTCGGGCGATAACAGAGACGCAGTCCGATGTGGCAGCCTCCACGTGGCGGATTGCGGGTCATGCTAATAGCCACACAGAGCCACACGTAAGTATTGCACTGTAGTATTCACCAGATTTGAGTGTGTTGCAGGAACCTGACATGTGACGTCACCTGTACCGCTGTTTCCGCTTCTAATGACGACGTGGTCAGGTGTCGGCTCTGCTGCAGTGTCAAGAGGACGCACGGGTTCTCCGACAGCATCATCTTGGTCGTGGTGGCGACTGTATCCGCCAGTGGGGGTGGTATTCAGGAGATCACTAACCTCTCGTCCTATTCTCCTCTCCATGCGGTGTAACCGGCAACCACAGGTTCCGGACCAGACAGGTAGGCGGCGCTAGTGTCGCTGACGTGCTCTGTCTGCGGCTCTGTGCTCCCCTCCTCTGCCCGCTGCTCCTGTTGCTCTACCCAGACCTCACAGGCGGGTCCCCCTCTTCTGGTGGTGTCTACTACACACATTGTCAGATGGCTGGTACAGTGATAAGTAATGGACAGTGCACAGTGGACCGTGGTGCAATATATATTGACGATAAACCAGTCTGTGTGGTTTGTCACGCCGATGTTGTTTGCTGTTTATGGCGACACCGTTTGATGTGTAGTGTGTGTGTCACACACATATCATCTATGGTGTTTGTTGTGTGTTTGTTGTGACTCCGTTTTGTTTGTTGTTTGTTACAGGTCCGGCCCGTACCGACATTGACTCACGAAGAGTCTACTGAGTCATACAGAGTCATGAGAAGTCATCCAGAGTCCATGGAGTCCTGGTAGTGACCACACTGAAAACAATTTTACCCGTAGCTAGCGAATTAAGCGCTGCTCTGCGGGTGATATATGTGTATTAACTCGCCATGTCCAGATTCTAGCTAGAGGGTAAGCAGACTTGCCTGCCTTATTACTCGTAAATATGCACCGTACCCACAGTCTGCAGTAAGGTAGCTACTCAGCACCGGATATTGTCCCCGCGGGTGTCGAGTCATTGGCATAGCCCTCACTGAAAGAGTTGGAACTACTCGAGATATCATAAACGCGTATCCGTGGATGGCGAACCTTTACATAACCTGCCCTGAAGGAGTTGGATCTACTGGCACAACTAGATGGCGTTGTCTTATACAGTTTTGAATTACAGCAATTTTTTAACTTTTTTGTGCACTAATGATATATTGGCACATTGTTTGGCGGTTTGAAGTGGGGGAGAAAGTACAATTGTTAGGGTGCATCTATAAAACCTCTGCAATATTCATCACGGGACGATTGGCAACGCCTTTTCTTCCGAAACTACCAAGTGAAACCATTTTGATTCTTATATAGGTCACGAAAGCCGTCGCGACACATCTTCTTGATCTCGGGCGGTCTGTATGACTACCGGTGACTGGGTCATGTCGAATTTTCTATGGAAATTCGATTTGACCGTTCCCTCCGACGTGAAACTTTCTCACCGATGTTTTCTAGGTGTGAGATTGTCATAATATAGATAATTTCCCTCAAATATGGTCAAGCGTGGGAGTTTTTTTGGCCCTCGTGACTTGGTCGGCGAAGGGTAGGCGTGGAGGGTAACCCCTTTTAGTCATACCTGCTCTGAGCGGATATAACCGCTGAGGCAGATACGGCTGCACTGCAATGGGACCTTACTGTACTCCTGGGAGGGTGGTTAAAAATGGTTGCGGATAGGGGTACCCGCGAAACACTGGTTTACTCGCCGGCCCTGGGTTAAACTGTTTTCAGTGCATGAGTGTCGAGGAGTCCCCGGTAGTCAGTGAAGTCCCCCCGAGTCCCTCGAGTGCCGGCAGTGAGACCTCTGCTCGGTCGGCGGGTAAAGACGCTTGTTATCCGCCTCCCACGCCGCTGCAGCTGCGGCTGACAGGAAGGACGTCAGATAGCCGGGCTAGTACCACAGAGTCCCAGAGCCGCAGGCAGGATGGTGCGGTGGACCCGACGACGGTCCGGGGAGGGGGGCGGGACGGAACAGCTATCTGGTCGGCCGAACGGCGCAGTATGGAGTGGGCGTCGGTGGGTCCGGGTGAGGTCACTGGAGAGGTTGGTGGGTCCGGGTCAGGTCACTGTAGAGGTCGGTGGGTCTGGATGAGGTCACTGGAGAGGTCGGTGGGTCTGGGTCAGGTCACTGTAGAGGTCGGTGGGTTCGGGTCAGGTCACTGTGAAGGTCGGTGGGTTCGGGTCAGATCACTGTATAGGTCGGTGGGTCCGGGTCAGGTCACTGTAGAGGTCGGTGGGTCGGCTCATGTCTGGTCTCAGCCCCCCCCCCCCCCGTTGCTGCACACGGCGGTACCTTGCCGTCGCGCGGTGTCCCGTCTCTCCCCGCCCCCTCTCGACGGTAGCGACGCGTCGCACGCGACACGGCTGACCAGACGGCGGTAGGGCGGATCGGCGGCGGTGGTCGGCGCCGGGCCGGCACCCGAGCGGCCCGGCAGGCACTCCCCAGAGCCACCGTGACGTCATCACGGCGTCCAGGCCATGTGCGCTCTCACGAATCTCGGCAGTGAGACTGCGCTACCGAAGACTCGGAGAGTGACAATGCACCGGTAACTTATATACCGTGGGTAACTTGTACCGACCTGTTGGTGACGAATACTCTCTACTCGCAACGATTTGGCACTTAGTAACATAACTATATAGTCGCTCAATCGCTGTGAGCTATAAATGGCAGCGTACTCTTATTTTCTTTTCGAAGAAAGCAAGCCAACTGAGCATATCACATATAATTAAAAGTTTTTTTTTCAACACCGGATTCGAGTCGCCAATAATGCGTAACTGGCGATCGATAAACGGTTGTTTGTTTACAACAGCTGCCTCAAAAGGTCAGCAGCATGTGCTGTTTTATGGCGACACTTTGTGTCTGATATCTGGCGGCTGTGGACACTGGCTGTGACACCACAAACTCGGCACGCAGTAATCTAGCCCGGCGGCCGCACGGTCTCCGCGGCCGACCCGCCGGCCGAGAGAGAAGAGGGGGGGGGGGGCGGGATTCCTTTGACGATAGCGTCCCAATGCGAAGAGATATACCCGTAGAAGCAAAACCTTGCACACATATTCCTGTACAGCTATTCGAAGTTGTTTTCGCTAATTTGGTGTCGATTCCATTTGAAATGACGTCACAGTGACGTCATCAGTCCAGTTATATATCAGTGTTTCTTAGTTTACCAACGATTTATCCGATATATGGGGCCGAATGGTGAATATATAGGACTGATGAATGGTCAGGAAGTATAGTTGTAATGTACTAAGATGTGCCAGGATGTCGACCGGTGACCGCGGGCAGGGACGGGTGTGCGCGCGCCTCGCTGCCGTACCCACGCGCGTGTCAAGTGAGTGCCTGGCTGTGCGGCAGCTGTGCCCTGCGGTACCGGTGACTTTTGCTATCTTTTAAATTGAGTGAGGATGGAGAACGCCGCGGCCGCTGCCGAAGAGCGGCAGACTGTGAGCGAACTTGTGCGCAATTTTGGCGACTCGCTCGGTGAAGGACCAGGAAAACGGGACAGGTCCGAGTCGGGAGACCCAGCACCAGCCGGTAAACGCGGCGCTCGTGAACGCGACTCCGAGCCCAGTCCGTCTCCGAGAAACACCAGCATGAGGCAGTACCTGGATGATGCCCTGGAGAAGCTGGAGGAAAGGCTGTCCTCGTCAATCTCCAGGGATCTGCATGAATTTCGCGAGCTGGTGTGCTCTGAGCTGAGTGCTCTCACCGATCGGGTACGTGACCTCGAACGACACGTAGAGGAACGGGACCTGGAGGTTGCTGAGCTGACCAATCATCTGGATGCTTCCCGAAAGCAGATCAAACTCCTGGAAGAAAGAGCCGAGAACGCGGAAATGAACTCGCGGATTCCGTGTCTGGTTCTCTCCGGCCAGGCCATGGCGCCCCACCGGCCTACGCGCCTGGACGCGCCCCTGCCGCCGGCCGGTCGCACCGCGCCCGGGGGCGGTGACTCGGCGCGTGGAGAGGGCCGGGCCGAGTCAGCTGACGCGCCGGCCGGTGCCGGCCGGGCGCGGGACGGGGAGAGGGGCGGCCGTTCCGCCGGTGGACAGAGTGGAGGTGAGGCGGAGGACATTAACCCTAGAACGCCTAGGGGGGGGGTTGTATCAACCCCCCCCCTGAGGTTTTTCGGAAATAGTGCAAAAACGGCGGCGCGCAGCGCCGCCAAATTTTGGGTACCTTATGGGGCAGCCTTTGCGCATCTTTTGCCGAAAAAAAATTGATCGGGTC